GAGATTGATTCTTTTCTCGTTGAAAGTATTCTTGGATTCTAAAAAACGTAGTATGTCAATTAGATAACAATGAATCTATTATCAAACGAGATAAAAGAATCTTCACAATTTTGGCCAGAATAAAAATCTTTTCCGTAGAACCAAATATATTTTATATCTTACAAATAGAATGATAAACATGTAAAAAGAAAAAGAAAATATTAATAATAACATGATATTATATCGAACTCTAAGTTATCAGTGATAACAATGAAAATTAAATGGAGAGTAAGAAGGGAAGAATTGTGATTTCAAGACGAACAATTTTACAAAAACGAAAAGAAGTTAGCGGTGAAGAACAAAGTTAGCAAAGAAAATTTTTCTCTTCGCAGAAGTAAGATATTACGTGCGATATCTCGATGTGCGTTGCAGTGCGCTTTTTCTTGCACGAGGAGGCATGTAAGACGGCGGCTCGCTTAAAAAAAAAAAGAGATATCGTGAGAGAAGTGAGAGAAACGAAAGAGGAAACGAAGGAACGAGACGCGGAGAAAATGTATGCATGTCGTGCTACGGGGCGTTATTTACGATGAGCGAGATGAGCGAGACTCTGCGTAAATTATAAGTATCACGTAGCACACATACCGGTATTCTCACGGAATCAGCGAACGAAGAAGGCAACGAACGTAAGCGTATCCGTAAAACGCGACCGGTCCCGCGAAGAGGAGAGAGAGAGAGAGAGAGAGAGAGAGAGAGAGAGATGCACAGATAGAATGCAATAAAAAAAAAAAAAAAAAAAAAAAAAAAGAAAAGAAAAAAAAAGAATCAAGATTCTGTCGCCATTTACATGCTTTTGCTGTATAATAAATAAAGATGTTAATTTGATGCAGCAAAATGCGCTAAAAACATTCTTAAAACGTGAGAGAATATATATCAGAGGAAATATTGTTTGATATTAAAAATAATTTTTTTTTAATAAAAAAATGCTTTTTTGAATTGAAAATTATAATAGTGTTCTCTAATTAATTTTTTTTTTTTTTTAAATGGTTAAAATTGTCAAGCGCGTGAATTTTCTATGTACCGGTTAAGAGTCCAGAGACCGTGTATCGCCGTTTAAGAGAAAGTGGGACGGACGAGGGCAAGTGTGCAATTTTTATGACTCCGCTCTGTAAATCCTGTCGATCCGAGACATATACAGGGGTGGAAAAACATATACTAGCGACGAAAAACGGGTCGACGGGGTTGAGCCGCGTAGCTCTTTCTCGCTCGGTCTCCTTTCAACGTTATTTATACAGGTGGCGCATTTACAGAGAAGTATAGGAAGGAGAAAGAGCCCACATGGCCAGAGCGAAATAAATTTGCGAACACAGAAACGGCATACTCGGTACATTGCACACGTTGGATAACGAGATTTCATGGAGAGTGCAACAATAGTACTAACATTACTACTTTATATTTTAAAAAGATAAAAATATGTTCCAGATGACGCAATTATATGCGTTCTATTTCGAGAGAATTCGTGCTGCTTTTATTAAAGTCATTAATCAATGCTTAAATACTCAAATCCCTTTCTATATTCGAGTAACATAGAAATAATGACTTATTCTCGAAGATACATGGTTTCCGAGTGAAGATTAATAGCTGTATAATGAGGCGAATTACCGTACCTATATTTGCCGCCGAACAAGCTTCTATAATTAGAAATGTCCTACTTTTATAATAGAATTGTAGTGCATATATTTTACCTGATATTCTATATTATAATAATATCGTGACGTGTCAATTATTTCTAAATGTTGGCTATAAACAGAAAGTTAAAAAAATACGTTATGTGAATATATATTATATAATGTATATATTATATAAATTATATTAAATTATATGTGCACTTTTATATCAAATTACACGAGTAGAAGCCATTTGTATATATTATGTATTAATCCCCTCTTATATAATAGAAAAAAATGGCCTAATGAAAAATCTAATCGCACACGCACTCAATTCACCTGTATCGACTTCGAATCTAGGCATGCATACATTTCCCTTTCGGTATTATTAGCATCTGAATGTGCGCGGTTAAAGTTCGCGGAATAAAACTTAAATGTCGTTTTTATCATTTATCTTACGTCTCGTACAGGCTTTCCAGTTGTGAAACGTAAGATGTAAGAAAAATTTGCGTAAAGCGCCTTTCACGTCGATTAATGTCTCTATTATGTACAGCAATTCTTTTCGAGAGTCTCCTTGAATTTAATCACGATATTACTTCGTGTAGAAAAGTAAAAAAAATTAACTCGTTAAATCTTCGCCTACTTGAAATCAGAGTTCCAAATTTTCAAAAAATACCAGAATACCAGTCGCTGACGCGCTGTCGATTCGCAGCTATTACGATACTATCGAATGCGAGAGAGGCGAGAGGTGTCTCGGCCATTCCACACTCCATCGACAGTTGTCGAATCGGTTATTAGAGGCGTCGCACGGGCAACGTGTGCACCTGCACGCGCCAAATGGACCGAATTGATCTTAACGTCTCTCCCGGCGCGCGCTGAGGGCGCGGAGCCTTAGCATTCCGATAATTGCATGTCGCGTGCGTGGGTACAGATTAAACCTCGGGCGTACAGACCGTCACTCGATAGAGAGAACATTCATCTATCGATGTTGGCGAGAATCACTTCAGCCGCAAAGTCCTGTTTGATTTGCGATTAAATCGTGACGAGCACATTCACAAATGCAAATGCATAAGCGGCTGTAACGTTATTGAAAGGATGTATGAATAATTCGATATATAGTAAATATTCTTACAATTTTAATTAAGAGATTCGCGCGCGTAATTATGTTTATTATGGAAATTAATTTGGCTCAATAAATAACGATGATATTTCGGTGTGCTGTTGAAACATTTATTTGAGAAATTTATAGAAAGAGAAGAATTTAATGATATATTAATTAAAATAGATATCTGTCAATGCTAATTAACGCGTATCAGAGACATGAATAAAGTTGAAAGAATACATAGTCTATAGAATTGTAGATATCAATTTGTAAGTCGTATTCGTCCTTCTATGCAAGTTTGAGCGGTATCATGAATGCGATTATAATTAGAGACGTCAATCACCGCCAGCATTCGGCGTCCTTTGCGGGTTCAAATTCGCTGACAAGAATTGTGTTCGCGTTAGGAAATACTTGGCAACGCCCGTTCGATCGTTATTACCGTTACAAGTATCGATTATTTATAACCACATGCGCGCGTGCTAGCTTGGCTGTTTTGATCCCCAGAAGAGATCGACATCAATGTCGGCTAATCCTTTTGATCAAAAGAGATTCGTTTGAAATGTGAGATATTTAGCTGAATCGTGACGAACATGATAAAAATTTCCGTTTAAAAACTTATTATTATTACTTGTAATTTTTTATTGATACATTACTCTTTTGTATTATGTGTTTGGATATATAACCTTTTTTTTTTAATTTTTTTATATTATTTTTTTTTTGTTGGAATACTTTTCAATTACACGTTATTACTAAACGCAATAATTTGTCATATTAAATAAAGATCTTTGTAAAGATTATTAATTACGACCCAGAAATATTCGCTGGACTGAAGGACTTCATAGTGTAATCGGCGAAGAACCTATTTGAGCAGTCACTTGGTTACGTAATACCACATATTTGCAATGTGTTCTCTTCACAGCTGGTGGTCCGTCAAGTAATCCGGATTAAGCCGCAATTTAAATCGGGCCGTACGACCGGAATGAGGTTAAATTTGGTTTAAAACGCTCTGCCGTGTGCTCGTAATAGATGTTGTGCGCACAATATAAAATTTAACAAAATAAAAATATTTTGTACTCTCTCTCTCTCTCTCTTGTTAAAAGGTTAATGCAAAACAGTTATAACTCTTACAAATATAAGTTTACTCTTAAACTCTGTTGTATTGATTTTTAAAACAATATAGAACTTTATTTCTTTCACACACCGTAGAAAATAACTTATGCTTAAGATTCCATATGTAAATATGTGCATATATTTTTTCCCGATATTCTTCGAATTTGAATTTCAGATTTACGTACCTAAACAAAATGTATTCTTGAAATAGAAAATAAATAGAATATTCGCGCGCGCGCGCGCGTGTATGTGTGTATATATATAAATATATAAAATCGCACAGAATATTTTTATCCGCTCATACTAAGCAAATTTTACACGCGGATGCGTATGGCAAAAGAGAAGCAGAAAAGAAAATCGCAGAATTTAGAGGGCGCGAGATTTCTTTCGTCTTATTTTGCAATATAAGGGAAGACTCTTTTACATCTTTACGTCGGCAAAGTCGGGAACGAGCAACGCGAATGCAGAAAATGTATATTTCCCGCGGAAATAATCTCCGGAAAAATATACGCGCTCGACGTTTGTACAGCATAAATCGTATGTGATAGAAATGATATACGGACTCTATATTTTTTTTTATTATTTCATACGATGGACTACAACGTGCGAGAGTAATACCGCGCGATCGACCATTTCACGAACCACTTTCGAAAGCACGGTCGTATTTTTCTATCGCGAGTTTCTGCTGCGTTTCATGAAACTTCAATTTCACGCATCAAATATCCGCGAGCATAATTTTCTCGCGCGCATACACATAAATATTATATACATAATCAGAATATAATCTTACGTTTAAGGAGAGAAGAGTGTCTAGTTTTTCGACTCAAAATATTTCGGTTGAGCGATATTTTTAAAAATAATTAAAAGCGCGAGCAAAATCATTTTAATTAAGTTCCTATCACAAATCGTACCCGTCTAGAATCCTTTGCGACCTTTTTTCGTAATATTTCTATCTCCGATATATCTCCTTACAATGTATGCATAAAATCTGGTAATCTGATGCGCAACACGCTATATAGGATGTTTAAGCTCTAATGGAACTCTGTCGCAGTGCCCGGGGCGTTCAAGTATTAAAGGGCCAGAGGGGAAGCTCCAAAGAGCGAAAGTTACCGAGAGATAAAAAGGATAAGAAAGTTTCGACATACCGTTCGGCACCGTCGGCGGCTTTTTCGTCTGTACCCTCGCTGTTGCGTTGTTCACCTGTCGAATTATAAGAAGAAGCACATATTAGAACAACCGAAACTTCTTTCCAATCCGCGAGAGATTTCTACCTAACATCGCCCAACTTTCGGGAGTCGCGCGTGGTCACATTTAGGTCACGTGCTTTAAAAAATAAAAAAAAAATAAAATAAAAAAGAAAATATCCGCCGTTAAATATGATCATAAATCATAAAATATACAAAAAGAAAACTTTAGAAACTTGTTATTATCAATGACCAATTAAATTTAAAAAGTGTGAAAATATCTCACGATTTGATAAAAAATAATTTGTAGCAATGAAATATTTATGTAGATGAAACAGCTTCCATTAAAATACAAACGTAATATACTAATTATTAGCCGAAATAATAATGAAATAAAGTGTGATTGTATAAAAGCGGGGCAATCACGATGGAATTATATATCTGAATGGAATAAAATTTTGGGGAACTTTGACAATTTTACGGGGCCACGCGCGAATCCTGTAATCAAATATGCGTTGTACGATGCAGAATCGTATTTGCGCAATTGAGCACAATTTGTATTGCGGAACTGAACGTGTTTTCGTGAAATTTTTAAATTGCCTCAAAATGCGATAATTATGCATATCTCTGCATCGTACACGAATCAATTATGAGCAATATTTAACAAACAAAATTAAAAATTGTATACGGTTGCACGTTCCTTCCTATTGCATTTTTCGCTTTGATCGGTTTTTATAAATAAATTGTCTACATATCAAATTCTTTGTGATCATAGTTTCACTTTATATCGCTTACACAAATCGCGTATGTCATGCGCTGACATACACAGATCTCGGTAAGCGTTTTGAGCGTGCAAACGCAACAAGTTTTCACTTGAATTTAGATTTTTTTTTCTACCGCTAGAATTTGGCTTCTGATACGTAAATTTGCAATCAATAATTCATTTATCAATTTATCAATTTAGAAAATAAGTCAGGATTCTTGTAATTGTGATGAAATGCGTATCCAGAATTTTTTCGTCATCAAATTCACGTATCAATATACTTTGCATCCAAATTCAAGGAACATTATTCTAAGCGTTAGTAAACATATATATAACAATATGTAAAAATCTCTCTTTGAGAAAAAAGAGATTTTGTCTTTTACAGTTTCCAACTTGCAAAATAATATATTGATCAATGTAAGATAAATTCGATTAAAAATTAAAATAAAGGCTTAAACAAAATTAAATAGGTATGATTGTCAACTGAAACAAATCGTAACAATAAATATATCTCAATATATTTTAGATTTTTACACAAGATTGACATATTTATCAATATCATTAATTTTATTTTCGAGCAAAACGGGAAGAGACAGGAAAATGATTTGTTAAATATAACGTTATCGTTATTTTAGAAGTTAGAAACTTCAAAAACTTTGACGGTCGACGAATTTAACGCTCCAGTAACAATCAATCATTTGCTATTCAGTAATAGCTTCATTATTCACCTTACATCTATTTATCGCTTTTTAATAAACGTCACAATGTTGCCGTCACACTATTACTGTATCAACCTGCGAATTAAATATCGACAGTAAAAATGTTTTTAGTCACTGAATCGCGCATTGTAACTGGGCGACAAATGCGCACAATACGTGTATAAATAACGCGCGAACAATTCTCGCATTTAATCTCGTCGACCTGCAAAGAGAGCTTTACATGCGCGTCAATTGTCGAGGGAGAGGGCGAGTGCGACAACGCGGTTAAATAAAAGTCAACCCGACGTCGAAGGACGCAACTAATTTCTTTTATTACGCGACTTACGGATATCAATTACACGAGACAGTTAAATGAAAGCAATAAAAAAAGAAGAAAAAGAAAGGAACCGATTGCCCCGCCGCGTCTGTCAAACTTCTTCCCTCTCCCTCTTTCTCTCTTTTCTCCTTCATGACCGAGAGAAAACAATGGCAAGTCTTCCGGTAGATTTCCGATTATTTCAATTTCGCTCAAGTACTTTTGCGTCTGGCAAAAAAAGACGAGTTTCCGCGGGTGGATCGCAACTTGTTTCGTTCTTTATCGAACGCTTCGCTTACCATGGGCTCTTCCGCTTCGGTTTTTGTTCTACCTACCTGCCTACCTACCGATCTACACTCGCCTTTTCATTTTCCTGCCCCATTTTGCGTCCACTTCAGCAAGGATAGAGAAGAGTTCCGTCGAGACACAAAAGGTTTGTGATATCGTAACGTAACGTATCGTATCGCGTACGTTTCTACCTTTGAAACAGCACGAAAATGCATGCCGATTCAGTACAAATGTTCCCCGACCGAGGCTACTTGGGACATTGAATCTTTTTCTTTAGATATTTTTTCGTAACAATGTTTTTCATCGGAAGTAATTATACAAATGTGCGATCAATTAATTATTATAAAAAACAATAATTAAAAAAATTAAATATATATATCTTGATAATTAAGGTAAGTAAATATCATAGTCTACGAAGATAGTATAAATCAAAATAGTAAAACTTCTGTAATCACTACTTGTTCAATTCACGTTGATACATTACTCAAATCATGTATGTAGATATATATTATTTACGAATTTTTATGTTAATTTAACTATTAATTCAATTTTTATATTTAAATGACTCGAAACAGAAGTCGCATGTTGCGGAATTTTTCAGACGTCAGGAAGTACAACGTTCTTCACAGCTGATTGATAAACAAAAAGATTTGATGTGTCTCAAATTCGCGACAGGACACGGATCTTGAACAGCGTATCGACTCTCACGAGGATTGTGAATTACAAGGGTATATCCAGGGCCAATCACGCCGACTGTGGCGCATCGTCGAGTAATTTGCATTTTACGATCTTGTTTTTAGCAACGAGGATTTGCTACCGACTATCGCGTACATCTCGCGATACAAGTAGCGTAGAGTTAAATGAACATTGTTAATAAAAAATATGAAGACTGACAATAGGATCATTTCAAAGATAAGAAAGTTTACGTTATAAGATAAGTTTATCTCAGTTTTTCTAAAAATAATAAATTATTCAAATTATTATTATATAACGAATTATGCTGTAAAACCGTTAGAATGAATTTTTTATTATCTAAACTAATGTTGCTAAATAACACATAATACTGTCATGGCAATTATTTTTAAATGTTTGTAAATGTATGTCATACATTAAAACATGTATGTGTTTTAATAATTGTGTGTATGTTGTGCTGCGCGCTGTTCTATGTTCTATGTTCTAACTAAATAATTTTTTGTTTCGATTTAGAAACCTCGTTTAACAAAATATATTTGAGTGTTTTTCAACATAAGCTTTTTTCAAAAAAAATTCGTTCTGTTCCTGTTCACACGAGTATCGTTATACGGGATGCTGCGAGATGCAACGGATGCAGAAACTATGCGGGCTTGCACTTTAACGAATAAACAAACGAGTGAAACGCGAGTCGACGTTTGAGAATCAATCCCGGTCGATAATAAACAAGCGTGTCCGTGCGTGAGCTACCTTGCTCTGACAAACAATTGCAGCACGATGCGATGGGTGAATTTTTGTTTGCCGCGTTCGAGAATCAGCGTATCGCATTCACTGCGTTCAACCGACGGAAAGCATCGCACACAGCCCGATTGTTTTGCAAATTATACCAGCGGATATTAATGACACCAAGCCGAAACCGACAGGCAATTTCAATTTGGATTGGGTGTTATCCCTCTCGCGTTTTTATATAAATAAACAGAGACGATACACGTTTCGACAAAATGTCGTGTATGATAATTGTTGATCCGAAATTGTACCAATTACAATAACAAAATAAAGTAATTAAATAATATTGCGATCAAAAATCATCACTACGTTATTTTCTTAAATATAGATGACGGGACAGTGTGAATCGAAACTTTGCGGTCACATAAAGTAGGCTACTATTTTTATCGAGAGCTGCCAATTTTATTATTGAGAGTATCGAATATTAGCATATTAAGTTTGACCGCAATGTATTGTCGTAATGAATATGTAGATATACGTATAAGTTGAGTATATTTTAATGCTCAAGATAGAAGTAGAGAAATCGATATCTCATTATATCAGGGTGCCGCTTTTTTGAAACATCTCATTTGAATGTGCAAAAAAGATTCTAAAGAGACAGTCACGATCTTATCTGTGACTTTATTAATACGGCAAGGAACAAATTATGAATGCAGGCCGCTAAATAATATGCAAACAACAGGGTTGCGACGAAAAAATTCGTTTCGGCAGCCTTGTTATGAATCTATCTTTATGGAATACTGTGCCGTCTAAAATTATGCATAAATCAATATTGCAAACTCCTCCGCAGAATGCATTGATCAATGTCATCATATATTCGGCTCCAAATCCTACGTTGTATTATGTGCAATTTTTTAGATAATTAAAATATATGTGTGTAAATAATAATATACAAGAAATCGTAATATATTTTATCTCTAAATAGAATAATTATATATAATTGCAGATTAAACTTTTGCAATATAAAATTACGACATTTGTAATATCTTTCAAATAAAATGGTTTAAAAATTTAATAATGTAAAAAATAGTAAAGCTACAAAAATTTTATAATATTTTTGAATAAGATTTCTCAGAAACCTGACTATTACATAATACAATTGACTGCGAGCATTGGATCGATGAAGGCAAAATGATTGCATTAATCAAGACCCGAGTACAAGAGCGATCGGCATTCAAAGGATCTAACAATCGACGCGATTCTCCCCGAGCAACTCCCGCCTGGAGAGAATCCGCGAATTTCCCGAGCACTTATGTCATTCCTCAGGGAGTAACAGGGTCTCGTCCACAGAAGGTTCGACCTTAGACTTAGGGAGCTGCTTGCGATCGAATGAGCGAAATGGCACTTTGGAAATTTCACGTAACCTCGCTCGCCTTCGACGAGCGGATATCTACATAAATTTGACTTGCTAAGGCCGAAAACTCGACCACCGACCGGCTGCGGGGGCTGACCGTTCGTGGATAGTAGTAGGGTAG